TACTTTCTGTTGTAATTCTTATATTTTAGTCCTTTGATGACATGAACCTTAACCAAGACGACTATGATTCGTCCGATAAGAAAAGCAGTGGCGACGAGGAAAAAACATGATACCAGCTGGGTTAGCTATGTTGGCTCATGAGCGTTGCTATTTATGTCAGTCGACAAAAATATTTCAATAGAGTAATTTATTTGCCCTCATTAGAGTTTTTAATTATTAGCTAACTATATTTAAAAGATCTACGTCATAATGAATCATAAGTGCTGCTACGTCCATGGATGTACATGTACGAGCTCTCAGTGGCCGCCTGAATGATGAGATCAGCCTACTAAATAACTTCCCATTCAGTAGTATATTTGAGACCACTACAACCGTACAAAGTGGTTTTTAAATGCCTTTTTATAGTGAAAGGCTTCCCTTGGCTTTCTTTGGCCGAGAGAAAATTGCGTATCAGTGTTATTGTACAGAAAGTATCACATTTCTGTCAGTCAATTTCTACATATTCAGTTTATTGTAATTACGTGATAACATATAATACTATTCACATACGACAAATTGAAGGTGTAAAATTATTTTTTCCCTCGCAATCCACAGTTAAAGTACCCCCTTTTCTTTGCTTCTACTTCTCGCTTTGCTGAACCAGTCAGTTCTCGAGGGAGCTGATTGGTTCAGAAAATGGCGCGAGATACCTTCACCAATCACGAAGCATAGTAAAGCAACATACAGCGAGTGTCAATAAGCCATTTTCGACTTGTTCCCAGCCTCCTTTTCAAAACGAAGGTAGGTGCCAAAATTATGTCAAAACGAGTTGTCTTAGTCTCATTCAAATAAAACTAACTTCTGCAGTTGAAAATGAGGGTCTGGTAACTCGGAAATGGTATATTGAAACTGCGCTAAACTGAAATATAGTAAAGGGGCCCTCGCATTCGATAAGATTTCAATACATCACTTGCTTTATCATTACACAGTTGTGTTCCTTTGGCGGCCATATTGGATTATAAATACGTGGTCAGCTGAAGCGAGGTCTGAAATTCGTGAAATCTTCGAGAAAACCTCCAAACTGCCATTTTCTATTCATGCGCACGAGAATTTTCGAATGTGGCGGCTATCCCAAACCCCCAATATAATCCTCCTAGTAACCAGTGTAAATAACTCTTGTTTTCCGGAGTGTTAAATGGTCTTGAAGAGAAAATCAAACAGTTTGAACTTTACTGAGAATTTACAGCTTCCAAGCTCTTATCCTTTGCAAAATAGTGTTACTTTTGAAGTTCATTTCTACCAAAAAGTTGTTAAAGATGGCTCACTAATTTGGAATAACAGTTTTACCTAGCTCTCTTGGTTTTACTGGTAGAGTTGCCAGTGGTTTTAAGAGCGCAAAACAGGAAAATTTCAGTCAGCTGTAAAGAGTAGAATATTACATTCGTTTTTCTTTTCATTTTTTCTAAAAAAATCCAGTATCTGGCTAAAACGTCACCTTAATAGTGCAGTGAAGTTTCGGCAAGAGCTACAATATTATTGGAAAAGCTCTATGTTGATTCTCAGGTACCGGAAAAATATCTTCAGGTCAGTCTAATCCTCCATTGATAGTTTTATTTAAACGGGATACCATCTAAAAATGCTTTAGCACATTAAGTAGAAGGCAAAGTATTTCTAATAGCCTTCATTGTAGGCGTTTCGCGGTCGCCCGAACACTGGAATTCGCTTGAGTGGTGATGCACGAGTCAAAAGGTATGAAAACGGGCCCTCTTTCCACCCTATAGACCTCTTAAACTTGAACGTTTTGTTTTCCCAGTTAGGACATGTGATAATACTCAAGAGACCTGTTTCATTCAAATGTCATCTTATTCCCGTGCATACACCGTAATTTTTAGGGAGTTATTATAACTCCAAAAATGGAGTAAAAAGTTTAGGTACAGGATAACCCCTTTTTGGGGGTTATTTTAACTCCTAATTTAACTCCGAATTTGGGGTCATTTTAACTCCTGAAAAAGAGTTCTTTTTACTCCCAGTCTGGAGTTAAAATCACTCCGAAACTGGGTTACTTGTACCCCTTGCATGGGTTGTTTTTACTCTTTTTGGAGTTAATTTAACTCTAAAAGTGGAGTAAAAATTTTAGGTACAGGATAACTCCTTTTTTGCGGTTAAAATAACTCCACGAAAAATAACTCCACTGTAAGGAGTTAAATTAGCCCCACTAGAGGAGTTATTATAACTCCCTGAAAATTACAGTGTATGGACGTATAATTTATGAAAAGTAAAAGATGGGCAAATGCCCTTGCTTCTGAATCATTGGGAAAACAAATTATACAAGCTAAAGAGGTCTATTGTGCAGACTGTCTACTCACCCCAGTCCTCTTCCGCTTTCACAATTAAAGATATCGGACAACACGGAGGAGAGTCTGAGCGCTATATCGCAGCAATGGTGTTTTTTGAGCTGCGTAAGTCAGCCGGATGTGAGCCCTTTTTACTTTTAATATACCTTGACTCCAACAAACTTTATTGCTAAAGGTTGATTTCCACTGACGCGTTTTTGGCTACGCATGTTAACGCACGTAAATTTTTATCATGTAAATAAAATAGAGGCAAGATAAAAAGCGCTGAGCTTAAACGAGAAGTTGAGCAAGGTTCAACTTTTACGCTTACGAGCGACCTTTCATGCATTGCCTCTATTTTATTTGCGAACGTAAATTTTACGCACGTAAAAATATTACGCTACTCTGCAAATCAACTTTTAAGTGTCTACTTTCATGTTGAGACGATATGCCCGAAAATTTGGGCAGAACCACTCCGCAAGACTGCAAAAACTGAAAAAAAAAAACACTTCTGGCTGATGTTCGTTGCCCAAGAACGCCTTTGCTAAAGCTTCGTGATATTTCTTCTTATCCCTTCCCGTGCAAACACCATGAAACGTAGGCCTAACCAGAAAAAAGTTACCAACACTGAATGGTGGATTTCTCTTCCATCTACTGTAAGATTTTAAAGGGGCTATGTCGCACCACTTGCTATGTTTTTAAAAAGTTACAACTTCTCTTCGCAACAAAAATAGTGGTCCAGCTTTGTTACTTACTTAAGACCATATTTAGACATTGAAACTGTTTGCTGTCGTCTGTTACAAAGGATAGCAAGGATGGACTTGGATCAAACCTTGAAAAGGTTGGGCCGATTTTTCAAGTTTTAATGCCATGCCCGCCAAAATCGCCATGAAAGAAATCATTATGGTTTGTGCTCGCTAAAGAAATTCGCCGTTTGATTTCTTCTTCATAACTCTACAAGAGTATTTTTTGTATGGGTAGAGGCAATGAGTAGTGACTTATAATTGACCTAAAACAAAAATATCCTCATGACATAGCCCCTTTAGCCTTGAGTTTCATAAGAAATGCCTTTGCGACTGCTTGTCAGTGTTTTAGAGGAGCCAGTGAAATGGGATTTGGTTGCTCGGGATTTGACATGCTGGTGCATTGCAGGTCCCGAATGGTCATAGTCCTTGCTGGTTCTTTGTTAGGTTTAACCCACTACTGTGTCTGTGTAGTTGTTCTTTTTAGTGCTTGTAAATCATACCCAAAGTGTGAAAATGTGTAAAGCCAGAATGAAATATGACATCATATGTAAATGTCTGTAAGAAATAGCATGTAAAAAGCGATGTAAAATAAAGGCGTTTGCCGTATATCAAGGCGATGAATGAGACTGACGATGTTGCAGTTTTCGTTTTGTGTCGAGTATGAGGTTTCCGGGCCGGTCATCTTGCGAAGTCTGAACTTTGGGTTGAATGATGTTTAGTGATTTTAATGAGCAATGTAGGAGCTTTTGGTCACCAAGTGATTGATTGGTTGATTAATTGGCTGATTGATTGGTTGACTGATTGATTAATTGACTAAGGATTGAATGACTGATTAATTAAAGGGGCTGTGTCACGGCAGTCCCGATCATTTTGTTTAATTTTGCCAATTACTCGCGCTCAATCGCTATGGAACTTAAAGTAAGCAAAGAAATTACATGTGAATGACGGAGTCAGAGATTGGAGACAAACAAATATGTCTCCTGAGCATAATTTTTGAAGTTGCAAACAGCAGAGATAAACTTTGGAAAACTGTTAGGCTGAACAGTTTTCAGAAACCCTAATTTCAATCCGTTTTAATCTGCTTCAGTTTTGCCCATCCGTGGCATCTGTTGTATCTGTTGTGTTATTTTGACCTTCCTTTAATGTTTTAACCGCGGCGGTTATTTTTATGTTTCTCTTGGATTAAACAGGCATTTTGTAATACCTAATTTGGCTGACTTTCGTGACACAGCTCCTTTAATTGATGGACTCACTGGTTGATTCGCGTCGTAAATATTTTAAAAATGTATTTATAAGTATGCTACAGAAAGGAATTCTGATTGACTAAAATTAATGGAACGTTTCTCGGTTGGCTACTCAGTAGTTCATACTGAAAGGGATTTTATTGACCGGTGTGTACAGTCAACTCCATGAAAGCTACAGCAAACACACTATACCAAACTAGTCTGATGGACTTCCTTAATCAAAATTCAAGACTGCTGTTAATAAACCATGTCGAAACAGTGCGGAAAACGACTGGTGAGTAAATCGTTGGCTTTTGCAGTTGGAACAACGGGCAGCCCAGACTAAATTTTCAACTACCCGGCATTTGCTTTTACTTGGGGGAAAGGCTACACATTCGCTCTATTTTTTTAACTCTATCAAACGGTCACCTCTCTAATACCAAAACGGCCCCTAAATTGCGTCCCAACATAGGCTGCTTGCGGACTCTAAGGGGTTTGTGAGTTTTTGTGGCTTCAGCCAGAAGCGAACAGACGGTGCAAGACAAAGATACAACACAAACTCAAAGTAAGTTAATAATATTTCGAATGTTTTCAAACGGCAGATTATAAGGTCGACATGTTTTGTTTATCCCAATACATTCTCTTATAAGATTCAAATTTCACGCAGACCCCGCCCCTCCTATAAGGAGGTGGTCATCTCCAGAAGTTCTCGCGTGGTTCTACTGTGTTAATGGCACAAAGGACGCCAACATCATGCCATAGTAACTAGGATGAAAGTTAGCATAAAGCCGAGAATGCCAGTGATTAGGACTCGCTTTCAACATCCCGTCCAGCATGACCAGACCAGTAAATCCACATGAAAGGGCCTTGTTCACATAGGAAGCGGCTTCAACTAACAGTTTGTCCGAATCCTGAGTGGTAACCCATGCCCCGCATGCTTTGTCAAACGGTTCTGCGGCGGTGGAGAATCCGTAAGGACCGGACTTTAAGTGAGTGTGCGCGAGGTCAGCACTTATAATCATTACGGCTCTGTCAGTTTGAAGATCTAGAATCTTAAACATATTCTTACCCAGGTGGGTCAATTCCGGGATCATCTGCACGCTGTCCGTGTATCTGCGACTCGGCTGGGACAAAACGATCACTTTGCTGTAGCTTAAAGTCCCTTTTGTAAAGGACAGCGGGACTACCTCTCCCCAGCGAAGCGGGAAAGGAACATCCTCACTTCCGGGTGGACCAAATGCGCTAAGGTAAGAAACATTTTCTTTTTCAAATTTAAGGGTGCTAACAAGACTCTTGGTGCCTTTTGTGTCCATGACGACGGACAGGTTGTAGCAGCAAGGTGGACATGCGCAGTTGTCTGTGTCAGAGAATCCTGCCCCTTCTGGACTGAGATAAAAGACGAAATCTTCAGGAGAGGCTATTCCGTGCGGAGTACTCAGGACTATTATATCTGGCTTCAGATCCTGGATTTGTTTTCCCACTTGCACTGCTGCATCATGTACCATCCAAGCCTGAGCCTTGGCAGTGGCATTGGTCGTGTTGAAATACCGGGGATCCAGAGCAATTCCTCCTGACGGTACAAAAATCGCCAAACAACGTAAACATAAACACTGATAACGAGTTCAGTACCAAAGTTATTTCTCGAAACCGGTCTTGAAAGCTACGATGTTAATGTTCATCAATGCAAGACTCCAACTACTTAATGCTGCATATTTATTTATCTTCGATTTTACGAGAAAAGTCCGTCAGATATCGAAACCATAACGCAATACAATAATGAAGGCCAGAAATGCTGCGTACGGAAATATACGCATTTTAGATACTATTAATAAAACAAGATAGGTGAATCACACCAGTTTTCAGGGAATTTTGAAACAAGAATCCATACTCNCTTAAAGTCCCTTTTGTAAAGGACAGCGGGACTACCTCTCCCCAGCGAAGCGGGAAAGGAACATCCTCACTTCCGGGTGGACCAAATGCGCTAAGGTAAGAAACATTTTCTTTTTCAAATTTAAGGGTGCTAACAAGACTCTTGGTGCCTTTTGTGTCCATGACGACGGACAGGTTGTAGCAGCAAGGTGGACATGCGCAGTTGTCTGTGTCAGAGAATCCTGCCCCTTCTGGACTGAGATAAAAGACGAAATCTTCAGGAGAGGCTATTCCGTGCGGAGTACTCAGGACTATTATATCTGGCTTCAGATCCTGGATTTGTTTTCCCACTTGCACTGCTGCATCATGTACCATCCAAGCCTGAGCCTTGGCAGTGGCATTGGTCGTGTTGAAATACCGGGGATCCAGAGCAATTCCTCCTGATGGTACAAAAATCGCCAAACAACGTAAACATAAACACTGATAACGAGTTCAGTACCAAAGTTATTTCTCGAAACCGGTCTTGAAAGCTACGATGTTAATGTTCATCAATGCAAGACTCCAACTACTTAATGCTGCATATTTATTTATCTTCGATTTTACGAGAAAAGTCCGTCAGATATCGAAACCATAACGCAATACAATAATGAAGGCCAGAAATGTTGCGTACGGAAATATACGCATTTTAGATACTATTAATAAAACAAGATAGGTGAATCACACCAGTTTTCAGGGAATTTTGAAACAAGAATCCATACTCTTTCTTTTCTTGTAGCCTGTACAATATTCGTTTTCGGATGCTAATTTCATAATATGCTATTTTCAAGCTTACTCATCGCTGTCACTTTGGTTTCTTCAAGCCTGAGGAGCTCTTCTGGAGCAGTGCCAACTCTCCCGGATTATTCGAGAGTCTCCCGGATACGGAACCGATCTCCCGTTCTCCCGCTCTCCCGTACGGGTCACCAAATCTCCCGGATAAAATCATCTTTTGTTCTTTTCTGTGCTTTAGTTTGAGATGTAGCCCATTGTTTCCTCAAAACGTGAATTTTTCTTATTCGTAGTACGGTTTCTGGCGCATTTTTGCACGTACTTAGCCACTGACAAAGATTATTTCGGCATCAAAACGATGATCGTGAATTTTGATAGTATGCAGTTCATTTAAGACTTCATATAAAGTCCTGAGCCATTCCCATTGGGGGCTGGGTCAATTTGTTGGGGGGAGGGTCCGTCGAAATTTGGAGGGTGGGGGTAGTGAAAAAGAGTGAGTCTCCAGATTTTAAATCTCAAGAGGTTGGCATCTCTGCATTGGGGAAGTCAGGGATGGGTCAGAGAGATATTAAAAATAAGGGAGAAGTGAAGAACAAAGTCATTTCCTTTCCCAATTCGTTACCTTTCAGAGAGCCTTTCACATCTTTGGTCACAACGTTCAACTACCCAATGGCATGACTCCTGACACTTTCTTGGATTAAACTTTAAACGCAATCACGAGACTCCACCAGAGTCGACGTGCCTGATCTTAGTTCAGTGTTACTGTCAATTCAAGGAAGGTTTTACAAACGATTTGTTTCCGAAAATTAATCGGAAAATGGTGAAATGGAGAAAGATCGAAATTTATGGAATATGTCACCTACCGTGCGGCATGACAAAGGCTCCGACAAAGACACTCTCTGCTTGGGAAACCAAGAAAGATCCAAACACAAATAACACTATGATACTGAACATGGCGTCGAAAGGCTGAAAATTTTAGAAAGCCCGGTGGTATCCCTTTTAAATTGTCCTTTCTTTTGTAGACTTTTCAGCCATGGCCTCTTTTATCGCTTTGAAGTCACCCTTGATTATATTACAAGTCGGCCAAGTTCGACCTTCCGACCCTGACACTTGTGGGTATCCGTCACACCCGACACGTTCTACAGTAAGTTGCGTGACACTCAAAACAACACGCACTGTTGATGATAAGGTCTGAATTTCCTGACGTTCACTCGAGAGGTAAACGGTTGGCTACTGTGGATGAGTGCGACAAGTCAATTTCGATATTTATTTACCATTCCAGATTGCGAGTAAGTTTCCTCTTTGTGCAAGATTATAGCATGCCGGCATTAATCAATTTGGGTAGGAGCCCTGGGGACGAGGTTGGTAGGAGATCTTCCGTATGATGATAAAATACGTACGACGCTTGCATGTAGCACGTCTACGGTGAAATGGGTCATTCCTTGCTCGTTGATTTACACAATGTGTACTAGAAGTACTTGTATCGCAGAAGCTCGCGGAGCTCTAGGGAGGGAGGCCCGTAAAACGTCAGGAATTGGAGGGCTGGAGAGAAATAGAGCAAACCCACGTGTACCTGGGAGGGCAAGTTTTAACACTGGCTCTAAAATATTGGAAGTTGGGATACATTCAAAAACTCCTTTTGGTTGGAGTAACTTTGAACCCGGTTCCCTGACTTTAAAAAGGATCTGGGATCTAAATGGGGTCAATGTAAATTGTACTGAAAAAAATTGAGAGTCTCGAATGAGTTATAACTAGTAGCTTTTACTCAACAGAACTTTTAACTGAAATGCCAGAATAACAACAACAGTGACAACAACAACAAACATCAGTTGTTACTTTTTGTCAATCCGCAAACTACAGGAACTAGACTAAGTGTAGGCATATCAAAAACAGATGTAGTGAGCGAAAGATAAGCATTTTCACAGTATCTTAATTTCAAAGTTAGTGTCTTGTCCTTGGCAACTAGGACATTGCGTCACACAGTTACTAAGCATGCGCATACTTTCAATGTTACTGAACACTCTAACTGAACACTCAGATTATATCACCGTAAATTTCCAGAAATAAGACCCTCCATTCTCGAAATGGAAAAATGTCTCAAACTTTCAGATGAGCCTAAATAAGCACCCTTGTGACTACATGTTTTGAGATTGCCTCCATATACGAATCTAATCCATATCGATCATATCGTAACTTATCAACCTCGACCGCTTAAGCAGAATGGGAACTGTACTTCCAGAGACAAGAGTCCAGATGGCCGTCCAAGAGGACATATAGTCTAATTATGAACTTAAAAAATAACGTAAATCAGTGAAGGCTTTTTGTCGTGATGTTTAAAGCCAATGGTTAAGATTATGACTGGTCGGCATTAAAAACTTCTTGACCCAAATTCAGTTCGCTCCAATTATAAGACCAGACGTTTTTGAAATGTAGATTTCCATCCAATAATAACCCCCAATGAATATAAGACCGTAACTGAAGACAGGCCCCAGCGACGTATTTTTGGAATTTTACGGGTAATTAGTTAACGTATATATAGCGTACACTGAGTTCAGCCAATCAGTTAACATTTAAGACAGTGCATTCTCCACGGACGCCGTTTAACTCATCAGAAACGAAGCTGACGGCGATTGTATGGTCCTTGCCTCGATTTGAAGTGAAGGTAGCTGAAATTCGTGCTTCCTCATTAACAGCTATAGGTCCCCTGTATCAAGAGAAGAGATTCCTTAAGTTAAAAAAGCTTATCAAAGTCATTAAACTAATGAACCCTCAATACCGGCATGTGTTAAAACCCAGACGATGGATTCCGGGATGATAGACAATGGACGATGGAGGATAGATGATAGGCGATACCATGAACGAATGAGGCTGACTAGGATATGAAGAATTATGCAGATCGAGGAGGGTGTTATAACACCCTCCGAGATTTGCATCATTCTTTATATCCTACGAAAGCCGAATCATTACTTGCTTTATTATTCATTCAAAATAATTCCTCGTTTAAAAACAAGCTAAAACATGCTTACCTTCGTCGATGTTAAGTTCACCTCGATAGTGGATGTTGAGAAGATAAAGGGCTGTTCAGGTCTGCAAATATACTCCAAAGACCAGATGTTGTCCGTCGAGTTGTCTTCTTGCTATGTTTTTAGACAATAGTTTGTCGTGAAACGAATAAAATGTTCCGCAGACTGTTCCGCCATTTTTGTTTTCACAACCAAAACAACTCAACCTCGTCCCCAGATCTTCTCGGTTAACGGTGCATTACCTGCATTGTGCTGCACTTTTGACGTCATCGGTTGATTAATTGCAAAGTTCTTCCAAATTTGGTCAACAATAGCTGGTTATGGTGAATTATGCGTGTGCTATTAGCCAATCAGAAACGGAGAAATATTTTGAATGAATAATAAAGTCGTTTAATTAAAGGATTAAGATCCTGCGGATACTTACCGGGTATTAAATGCCGCTGACTTGGGTAGCATTCCAACAGCCTCAAAGTGAAACTGCCCATTTGTTAGGCTCGCCAGCGTCTCATTTTTAAAGGAAGCTGTCACTGTCACCATTTCGCCCTTCCTCACCATTTCAGGAGATGCCTGAAGTAAAACGAAATATACAGTATAGTAAACACCGGCGTATAAGAACCTAGTGGATTAAGGAACTCCCGCCGCCAGAAATTCGCCTTTTTAATACTCAAAGTTGTAGAACTGTTTAGCCAAGCAAGATAAAGAAGGCTATCTGCAGATTTCAGGTAAATCGTGATAAACATTCAGTAACGAACGAGTTTGACTTATTGGGCTCGTGCCAAGGATGAGCACTTGTTCTGCACTAGCCTGCGAAGCAAGCATTTCCAATCGAGTTACCGTAAAATTCCGAAAATAAGCCCCGGGGCTTATATTTTTCAAAAACCCTTTTTGAGGGGCTTATCTACGGAGCGACATTTGCGCTTCAAAATCGATTGGGCTAGCCTTATAGTTCGAAGGAAATTTACCGTTTTTGCTTTGTCATTTACTTTGTATTTGTGAGCAAATTTCCAAGGGGGGAATTTAGGGGGGCTTATACATGGAGGTTTTTTTTTTCGGAATTTTACGGTAATGTGTTGCCTGATGTAAGGGAAAACGGATTCCGGGAAACTTTTGCTATTAGAATACGGATTCCAATATTTTTTTTTAATTTTTGCCTGTAGAATCCAGAATCCAGAACTTTGGAATCTGGAATCCCACTTATGATTGTAATCCGGAATCCAATTTCCACTGAAAAAGAATGCGGAATCCACGTCGAGGAATCCAGAATCCAAGACTGTCTTGGATTCCCTCGCAAGGGACGAAGTTTTGTACGTAAGTTGAAATTCCTCTTTTTTGCTCTCGCCCCAGCTTTATGAAGACCTCGCAAAGGATATTTCTGGACCCTTACCTCAACCTCAAGTGTCGGCCTTAATAATTCCACTACAGCGTCCGCGGCGTACTTTTGATGGGTCTCTTCAACTGTCCCCTTGACGTACAGCTTTAGTATATCTCCGTCTACCATTCTGCCAAAGTACTCTGAACCTTCAATTCGTAACATGGTGCTTTTCTCTAAGATAGTGTAAGAAATTAAAGTTAAATTAGGTGAATAGAAAACGTAGACCTTCCAACTCTCATGGTTTGGCCATGAGACTCATGGTTTGGGTAGTCAACTCACGGTCCCACGATTTAGCCTACATCTCATTGTGAATCAGAAAGTTTTAAAAATCTTAAAATTGCCAGACAATTCCAGAAGGAATCGCGTAATTTGAAAAAATCGTCTTCATGGACGAATTGTATCAATCTAGTTTTGAGGGTAAACGTGAGTCAAATCATCCCACCTCTGCTCATTCCCGTGAAACATAAGTTCGCTTAGGTCTGTGGGAAAGCCTTATCGGCATTCTCAGTAAAACAGAATCTTCTTATCACTGCCAAGAGATAAACAAGACAATACAACAGAGACCACCAATAGGATAAGGAATACCATGACAAAAGTAGTCCATCTGAGTAGTCTGCCTTATTAGATTTATTAGTTTTATTTCGCACATATTTTGGAAATCTACAGGTTTGAGGTCCCAGTCTCCACCGGTTTTTGGGAGCTCTTTCTTTCTCAAACACTCCAGATTTGCATGTTTTAGGGGTTGAAAGGTTTGAAACACTCCTATCCTTAACTATTCTCTAGGAGAGGGGCGTAGAGTGTTTTATGCACTAAGCTTGGGTAGGAGTTGACCATGAATTTGATGAAGCATGGAAGTTTTTTTATCGGGACTCAAAATTACAACAGTCAGTTATTACGAACTGCATAAAGGTTGATCTTCTAATTAATTAATAGTACCTTCTTTTGCAGCCAGATGAAGGGTATCTTTCTTTGCTTTAAGTACTTTTCCTGCGACCCCTGTGTAGAAAGCCATGGTGGACGTGATTTTCAAGTTCAAAGTTCGCTTATAATTGGACGAGTTCTTCACCACGACTTTAACATCGAAGCTGTCTCCGAATTTAAGATCATTCGGCCAGTCCAAAGAAATCGCCACGTCCCCTTCCTCTACCTCGTAAATGTTGAAGTACGCCTTCCTGCTGCTAAAGTTGTAAGCCATTTCAACTGCTCTCCTTTCTTCTTCAGTGCCTATATTCAGTAATATACAACATCATGAGCAGAAGTGAGGCTTTGCTGGATGATCTTCGTTTCCTCCCGACAGCACAGTCATAATGATATATGAAATAAATCATATATGAACTGCGGAAATGAAATGAAAATGAAGAAATGATGGACGCAGTGAACGCAATTTATGCAATTGCGTAAAGAAGCCACTGCGTAATAAAGCCACTGACGTTGGGAGCAGGTGGTTTCATTCAGTTGGTAGAGCATCGCACCGGTATCGCGAGGTCACGGGTTTAAACCCCGTTGAAGTCCTCAATTTTTTTCAGGCTTCTTTACGCAGTTGCATAAATTGCGTTCACTGCGTCCATCGTTTCTTCATTTTCAGTACAGTCGTGAAAGTCCGTTTTCCTATGAGGTATTCTTCGAGAAAATTAAAGAAGTAATGGGAAGGCTATAACCACAGTTTGCAACTTGTGAAGACAAATTGCTTGTTCTTTCCAGGTTAAGAGTAGAAACGTTTTATTATTAGGCAAAAAAATATTTGAAATCCCTCCATTTTTTCATGCCTGACCATGGGATCGGGGCAAAAAAGTTCACGCATGTACTCATTACGTTTTTCCGCCCTAAACCCCTCGGCTAGCCTCGCTCGCCGATTTTTTTCCTCCTTTCTCCCCCAATGCAGAGGCTGGTCCCAGGCTGGCATTTCGGTGACGTATCCGGGGAGAACACTCGGACCACTGCTCACGACCCGAATAACATAAGGGAAAGCAAATAGGGACTAGGCAAGGCATGCACAATTCATATAAAGTTTACCTTCTGGGTATTTGTAATCGTTTGTGACGTCAAGCCTAGATCGAGCCGAGTTCTGGCTGGGTAATTTGGTGCTGATTTTTTTACCAACAGCACTCTTTTCCGTGACAAAGGCTTTTACGGAGTTGTCAGAAAAATCCACATCCCACCGCACCTTGTCACCATTCACTTCGGCAAATATGAAGCCAGTGTCATAAGGTAGATAGACCTCTGCATTCTTGATTGCATTCAAGGAAGCCGGGCCACAGCGATAAACACCTGAAAAAATTATGTCCAAAAAAAATGTTGACCATCAGGAAATGTTAATTTTTTAATTTTATTTTTTTAAGTTATATTTGAATACCGTATAAAATGATTTGCTAACCATAACTTAGCTAATAGAAACGTGAACCAAGTAGTTTTTGATGTGGATGGTGTGACAAAATCAAAGAATAGAACCTTTCAATGCCGGACACACCTAATGAAAACACAGTGTCACATGCTACATACCTTCACTGGTTTCTTGGGGCGTGGCATCATGCGCTTGCCATCCATCATGCCCGGCTGGCAGATCAGGACGTTTGAACCATGACTCGTTCCACACGTGAAAGTTCCTGAAAATACACAAGATTGAACAAGATACAAGGTATTTAATTTGCGCCTGCTTCCAGGTGAACCGAAACAAGGCTTCGTTGGTAAACATTGTACTGCGCATACTGCTGTACAACAGCCATAGACTGACAGCTCACTTGTGCGGGTTAAGGGAAAACTTTGGGGAAAAGTCATTCATCTCGTGGGTTTTTGGCTCAGCCGCCAAAATTTTCCCTGAACTGCTACTTACTGGAACGCCAAGTTAGGAGAACATGTTTAATTTACTGTGTTCCTAAAAAAAAAAGAATCATATTTGCCTATATGAGGTGCGAGTAAAATGGTACATGTTATTGTTTTATAGTGGATATGCCTACCGGCCCAGCTAATCTTGCTTGTTCCAAGCACCTCACTTAAATCATCATAAACAAATCAAAGGCGCTGAACATGCCATAATCAATCCAACGCAAAATGCAAGAGGTAAACCACTTGGCTATGAGCTGTGACCGAGTGTTTGAACTTGGGATTACTGCGACATTAATCCAATTGGTGGTCAGAGCGGGACCCAAACTCGGGGACAACGCGCCTATCAACGCGCTGACCACTGTTAGCCTATGTATGTTTGAAACTATACCGGATAGGGCTTCTGTTTAAACCTAGGTACGCTGATTTCGGCGCGAATTTATTAACGGGGCGAAGAAGGGCCGCGCCGATCTCCAAAATGGAGCGTGCCACACTCTGGTGCTGTGTGAACAGATATTCGGACTTGCTTAGCGGAAGTGAATAAGCAGAGCCGGGGACGAGGACTGGAACCCGTTGAGATCAAGAGAGGATAAAGGGGACAGAGAAGGCATCCCCCATACACACCCTATTCCATAGGTAATTCGTCTCGAGTTATTTTTAGAATCGGGATAAAGTTACCTCGAGCGTTGCGTGGATGTTTCGTGCAGGTTTCGCATGACTAAACGCCGTGCAAAACATGTCGGGCGAAAAGCAATGAAAGCGTAAAGAAATCGAGAGCATTTCTGAATATTGAAGCGAAATGAGTCGGCGCTCACCTGGGAAAAGGGAATCGCTGGACTCTTTGACAACCCGTGAAATCAGTTTAACTCGAAGTTGTCGTAACCTCAGGGCCTTAATAAAATGAGAAATTTCGCCGGTCTATTGGAACCGGTCGTTCGTACAATAAAGCAAGTAGGACGCCAAGTGTTATTTTGTTGAATAATAAAAGACTAATAAAAGAACAAATATCAAACCAGAAATTGCTCTCTTCTAACTGTAAATTATAAATGACCCTGAGAGAATATTCAGTGTGTTAAGGATTTCCCTGCGGTACTGTTGCTCTATACAAGAGAGGAAGGGCGATTCTTTTTTAATTTTCATTTCGCTGACACCGCTTTAGTAGAAATCTCTCTTCAGTCGTTTTCGTCGACAAAACGAATAGCAATATCGCTCTCCGCGTCGTCTGCCATTTTTTTCAGCGTCAATTCGTGAAGGACACGTGGCTCTGAGCGTGGTTCATCCTGTTGTCTAATCCCCCTTGGAATCTGTGGTCTTAAAAATAACTCGAGACGAATTACCTATGGAATAGGATGTGTATAAGGGATGCCTTCTCTGTCCCCTTTATCCTCTCTTGGTTGAGATGGATGGAGGTAAATATTTTTGAAAGTGAGGACTGGGATTTTAGTTCACCAAGCCCTCCATGCCAACGGCCCCGGCAGGACGGTTCCATGTGTGTGAATGGCGCGTTCCTGTTCCGAGGCCGTTGCCGTTCATACAAAACCGGATAGTGTTTCGGTATTGGCACGGAAAACTATGGGATATGGTGTGTACATAGCCTGAAATGATCGTATTCCCGCATCATCGCTCCTCCCATTAGTCCTTCCGTCCACCTCCATCAATGCACAGGGTATTTTAAAGGGGTGGAGTGTACTCACAAAGATTCAGTTATACTGACAACTTACACTCACCAGACGGAGTCATCCCATTCTTTAATTGGATCGCCATTTTTGTCAAAATGAGTATCGATGGTCAAGCTGCGGTCATGATCGTGGGCGGACTGGAAGTTCGTCACGCTACGGGTGGGTAGACCCAGTGCTCTCAACACTGTAAAGAGTATCCAGACGATGGAATCATTTTAACAAGGCGTTGTGTCACGCTAATTGCTATCTTTCAAAAATCTAAGTCCTAAAAATCGTGTCGTCAATTGAATTACAAAAATAATGGTCTNAAAGATTCAGTTATACTGACAACTTACACTCACCAGACGGAGTCATCCCATTCTTTAATTGGATCGCCATTTTTGTCAAAATGAGTATCGATGGTCAAGCTGCGGTCATGATCGTGGGCGGACTGGAAGTTCGTCACGCTACGGGTGGGTAGACCCAGTGCTCTCAACACTGTAAAGAGTATCCAGACGATGGAATCATTTTAACAAGGCGTTGTGTCACGCTAATTGCTATCTTTCAAAAATCTAAGTCCTAAAAATCGTGTCGTCAATTGAATTACAAAAATAATGGTCTCGTTTTGTTATTTAAGACTGTATTTAGCTATTAGCCGGGACATCAATAGCCTGAGAACATGCCCTCCCTATATCTGATCACTGTTAAAGAAAAGTTGATTACATGTTAGGGAAAGAAAGATAACGCGCGCGCAGGATTCCTCATTTCCTCTCTTGTCTATTCACAACCAAACGGGACAGTATGCTAACCAAGCCGCACTCGGCGCTAGACTGGTCACAAACCCTACTACGTAATGGAGTTTTCTGATGATTGTTAAATTGGCAACTCACATGTTGTGACCAGTCCTGAGAAGACCCAGCACTGTCCGTACTTCACGTGATTCTTGGTTTTCCAGAATTCTTCCAGTATGTTAACGCTTCCAGTCCAGCCAGTAGGTTTGGTGCCATCTTTGTAGGGCTCACTCCATCGACCCAGCAGAAGGCCTCCATCTTGGTCGTCAAAATTGACCTTTAAGATAATCATTGTACTTGGTCTCAGTTTAAAGCCTGGGACCAGCTAAGTTAGCAAAAATCCGTCAACACGGCTAAATAAACGCCTTAAATTTTTTTTAAGATGCCTAGTTCAACCGATTGAACTAACGAAGACTTGTTATAGCTCCTCAAACTGAGTCGCCGAATTTTACAGACGTTTTGATGGTGAGCAAGTGGCGGGAGTTGTTTTTGGCAAATTCGTTCCCCCTTTTCTCCCCATCCCCGCGTGCGTACACTTACAAAATCTCCCGCTACGCCCCTGTTTGGTAAAGAAAGTGAAAGTGCCTCTTTCTCGCTAGCTTTCCTTAGCGACGCATTGACGGAAAATTTCGGTCAGTCCAAAGACGGAAAATGGTGAAAATAGTAAACTGAGCAACCTATAAGAGAGTAAAACATTAATAATAAAGTGTTTCTGTTTTAGATCTTTCGAACGTTATACGTTCACGAATTTTCGACTGGTTGAACATTCGTTTGTTAGCAGTTCCATTTACAAGAAACCACCTTAACAGCAAGGACCTTTAGACGCCTAGTTCTGAAAGAGCGAAAATATAGAACCGGACCCTGGTGAGCCAAGTGTCCAGTCAATCTTTTTTTTTGGCTGTCGAGATTTCGCCCGGTGCTGTATGGAAGTAGCCTAAAGTAAAACAATAAATATCTACGTTACTTACCTGGGCTGAAAGAGTCCGTACTATAGGAATGGGACTGGACTTTGCCTCTGGGTGCTCTGCTAAACCAGAGTGGTCGAGAAGCCATAGTGCACAGTTCAGAGAGACATCTTCAAACTAAGAGAAAGATAAAATTAAATATCATCATTAAAAATACTTCACCCTTTCTAAATAGCTTTAAACCCTAGTCTAATAATTCTCCATAATTAGGTGGCGATGACCAATCTAAGATGCAGGCAATAGGCAATCGACACGATTGACCGTATATCTCTCTCTACTATCTGCAAAATCCTGGAGGCAGGGGGCAGGTAGAAGTTTGACCGCCTAACCAAGTTACCCGGGGCGAGTCAACTTTTCATAACGTAACGAACCGTTTACTTGAGAAACAAAAACTTGGCTGTCGACTGGCTGGATAAGAAGAGTGACCTGCCTAGGCAGGTCACCCCTTTGTTATGGTAGGACTACCCTCCTAATCGAGCCAACTTTTCTCCATATAAACACTTCGGCACGCCCAGCCGGGTCAACTCGGTCAAAGCGAGAGAGTTGGAGCATGTGTGAGCTTTGTTTTAGACAATTACAGCATGCGCTAGCGCTGTTGGCCAGAGTGGTTTCTTTGCTTTTTGCAAGTACCTGTCCGAACACCCAAGGTATTCCCCAATTACTCCATTCACTGCCCACCCAAATGCGACCATGGTCAGCTAACACGTACTCCAGACGTTCCTCTTCATTGTCCATGTACGCCACATCATCTAACATGCACATCATAAAACAAAAAGCACTTTAAATCAGATTTTTAAACAGAAGCGCTATCAGTAGCGGTTTGCCAGTTTTACAGAAAGTGACAAAAACTGGTGGATTTTATAAATAGAAAAACCCATTTACCGGCTTGCCAGTCTTGGCTCTTTTAGTTTATCTTTATTGCATTACTTATGAAGAGCGTAGACAAACGACGTCGAATTTCTCTCGCTCTTTTTGAACTTGAATTTTTTTAAGGAATTCACTTCTAGGAGAGTTCGTCCATCGTTTGACAGTATGAGAGAGTTGAGATAATCGCGCTGAATTTTCATAGACGTTTAACACGAAATCAATTTCAAGTGACGTTTTTGCCGCCTTTGCCGTCTNTAACGTAACGAACCGTTTACTTGAGAAACAAAAACTTGGCTGTCGACTGGCTGGATAAGAAGAGTGACCTGCCTAGGCAGGTCACCCCTTTGTTATGGTAGGACTACCCTCCTAATCGAGCCAACTTTTCTCCATATAAACACTTCGGCACGCCCAGCCGGGTCAACTCGGTCAAAGCGAGAGAGTTAGAGCATGTGTGAGCTTTGTTTTAGACAATTACAGCATGCGCTAGCGCTGTTGGCCAGAGTGGTTTCTTTGCTTTTTGCAAGTACCTGTCCGAACACCCAAGGTATTCCCCAATTACTCCATTCACTGCCCACCCAAATGCGACCATGGTCAGCTAACACGTACTCCAGACGTTCCTCTTCATTGTCCATGTACGCCACATCATCTAACATGCACATCATAAAACAAAAAGCACTTTAAATCAGATTTTTAAACAGAAGCGCTATCAGTAGCGGTTTGCCAGTTTTACAGAAAGTGACAAAAACTGGTGGATTTTATAAATAGAAAAACCCATTTACCGGCTTGCCAGTCTTGGCTCTTTTAGTTTATCTTTATTGCATTACTTATGAAGAGCGTAGACAAACGACGTCGAATTTCTCTCGCTCTTTTTGAACTTGAATTTTTTTAAGGAATTCACTTCTAGGAGAGTTCGTCCATCGTTTGACAGTATGAGAGAGTTGAGATAATCGCGCTGAATTTTCATAGACGTTTAACACGAAATCAATTTCAAGTGACGTTTTTGCCGCCTTTGCCGTCTTGGTATCTTAAACTTTCTAATAGCCAAAATAAGTCACACAGAGCTCCTTCAATTTCGGGATTCCAGCCCAAACACATCTGATATAATTTAGCGGCTTTCCTCGCTATACTAAAGCAGGATCACAGTACCTTCGCACCAAGCGTTAAACAAAATGCACACAATTTCGTCCTCCTTGCGTCTAAACACAGAAAGCTTTCCGTCAGAGTCTCTTGTTTTGGTCTCCAAGAAGACTTCATACCGTCCAATGATAGCATTAGCTGAGGGAATGACTGTTAGGTGCATGGTTTTGTCGCTGACATCCTTGATTTTCATTCCCCACTGGTTGGGCGTGAGGATATCACGAAGTGTGACTCGGACAATGGAGCCTTTGCTCTCCTGAGGTTTTTTCCCTGCAGTTTGAAACAGAGTGTTTTGTTGGTTGTTGTTCAGATCAAATAATGACAAAAAGCTGCCTGTATTATTGAGCTATTTCAGCCTAAGACAGCAAAAAAGACAATCAGCAATGTAAGTCCCAGACCAGTAGGCCTGACTTATATAGGGTTTGAGATGGGGGGAAGGGCACGCCGACCAATTTATAAAGATAGTTTAATTCATTTCGCGAAGGTTCTCAAACCCTGACTCTGACCAGTGACGAATCCAGGAGAGGGGCCCGGGGGTCCGCCCCCTTCTTTTTAGACAAAACTGAGGCCCGAAGGGCCGAAAAAATTGTTTTTTGAGACCGCCCCCACCCCCCTTCCCTTATCTGAAGGTGTGTATCCGCCACTGCTGACTAGAAATAAAATTGAAAATGGACAGCCTTTTTAATGATCAAGAAATTAACTGTAAAACCGTGGACGAAGATCCTGCTGATTGCCAACGTTGAATCTCTAGAAAAGAGATCTAATCAGCTAAAACTCAGTAACATTTGTAAACCTGAAGAAGGCTGATATAGCCAGCCGAAATATTTTTATGAAAAGCAATACACGTTGTTATGATCAGCTTTGCAGTAGTCTTTGGACTTACCCCCTTTTTAGTTTTTTCATCTCGTGGACATTCATAAAGCACAGGATTGTAGATTAAACGTTGATAAATCGTTTTGTTACGTTTGTACGCTGACGAGGTTGTGAAAGTTAAGACCTAGGGCTCAGCATCACTACCTTAACCCAACCGCGGCACGTACCTATTATATGGGTCAAAGTGCGTGCTAGGACGATAATTAGCCACAAGGAAGTTAATAAATGACCTAACAAACCTGTAGCAAATTGCAGTATTATCTGGTCAGATTCCGGCCTGTACACTCTGTCGAACGTCACCGTGATCTGAAATTCCTGACCTCTCCTAATGATGAGCTCTTCAGATTCGTAATCGTCAGTTCTATGAGCCATGCGATTCTCATACTTGTGGAAATCCACGTTTAGTGGCTTCAGTTGTGTCTCGTCTATATAATAAAACAGTTTGCTAATGGGTTAGCAAATTTAATTATCACCTTTCACAATCATACTTTTTTGGAGTACTTTTGTTTTCGTTCCTTTTTTCCCTGCACATTTGCAAGCGCAAAGCCATCTGCCTTTAAACCAGGCAGATGCATGGCCCAAGAATTGGCCACCCTTCGCCTTGGTTAGATACCAGAATTTTAAAATTTATTTCATTTCAATTTTTGAAAAGTTTGACAAGCCTTATAGGTGCAAGTTCATTTTACACAGCTCAAATAGTACAAATGATATATTACGTGAGACTAATACTCTTTATTTTAGTTTTCATAAATAATGTAAAAAAGCTAGGCAAATTCAATTTTTTTAGGGTTTCATTAGCGTGGCCGTCGTTATTGCGAACTGTGTCTGATAAATCGTCAGAGTAAGGTGTAGACCGCTAGCAATGCAAAAACAGCGAGAAACGAGAAACTGGTGAAGAGGCTTTACACTGACCCAGCCTTCATTTGTGATCATCTCCGTTTAGCCGGAACTTGTCGTCTAGCTTTGACTGCGATCAGCCTAGTTCCTAGGCGTTCTCTCTTGCCCCGTTGTCCGCGCGAAGTCTGGGAAAAGGCGGTCGAGTCATTCTCGGTGATGTCACAGCTCACGGTAGAGTCCAGGATTGACCGAGCCGAGAACGTCTTGGGACAAGGCTGGACCGCGATGATTTTAGGAGAGTAGTGGTTGATTATAATATTGTTCTTATTTTACCCTCCTGTTACCCCTACAGTTACCTTTATGAGACAAAAAGACCGTCAAAGCTCTGTTCAAAGATCTGAATCTTTCGTCAGAAGTAGCATTCCTCCTTCCTTCCAAACCCTCACCCAATCTAGATCTGTCACGGTTTCTTGCCGAATCATCACTAAGAAAAAAAGTTAAAGAATTTTAACGGTAAGTAACGCCTAGTATTTAGATGTCCTTTCTTTCTTCCCAGACAAATGAAAACAGTAACTGTCTAAATTTTTAAGACTGCACAATCCAATCTCATGAAAATTTCCAACTTCCAATCAACCTTTCTTGTTCCAATTGCTCGAATGGCTTAACTCCTCCCTATCCTTCATCTCCCCTCCCCTCCCCACCACCACCACCATTACCACTTCTGTAAGCAGTTCTCACTATGGATGTATAGGGCGACTCACCGCACAGAATTGTGTTGAAATTGAAAGCTAGGGATGCGTTTCTGAGTTAGTTCCTCAGACGTTACTTCGCCGGGAAACCATGGCCAATGGTGGCGTTGCGAAATGTCGGCTGTTTTTTCAGGCTAGGCAGGTATGTCAGGTATTGGAGATAGAACTCCCGTGAACAATTTACAAATGAAGCTTTTAATGTCTATACAAGCGCAAGCCCAGCTGTGATGACCTTTTTTCGGCATCTTCGTTAATCCAAACGCAGTTAAGGCTGATCAAACTTAGGCCGGAGGTATTGCCTCTAAAATTAAGTCCAGCAGTAGGTCAGCCTTAAGGGCTAGGGTGCAGGAAAGGCAAGTGGATAAGTATGCGACTTTAGGTAATACGCCCGGCGGCTTTAACGTTCAGTTATTGGTGAGAAGCCGACGAGGAATAATGGCAAACAATAACGTGATCTTTTTAATTCAGAATAATGGCATACGTAATGGCTCTTAATTTGGGGAGGTGGTATTAATAATAGAGTATGATAACCTGAAAATGGCATTTTGGAATTGGAATATAGCTGGCGGAATAATGGAATAAAGAAAAATTTTCAGGTACTAGAATATCAGGAACACTCCATTTTCATTTCTCTCTACTCTTCCCGCAATATACCGCTACAGAGTAAGCAAACGGTAAATACTGAAAGTACATTTACCATTAAATTGCATCGGTTACACAAACAGATTGTGTGCCCGTTATTGTGGAAGTACATGCAAGGTTTATAATTGCCTGGGCCGCTTGTTCCGGCTCTCGTCGCTCTCCGATTTTTGCTTCTGTTTCATCGCCTTTTTTCCTTTCCCCCACTACGGAGCCTAGTCAGGCTAGGTTTTGAACCAGGGATAGTTTGGACCTTTCTTAACTTGATTTCGTTCACTCTTCCGAGGTTTAATTCGGTCAGAGACAGTACGTGTACAATCGAAAAGCTTATTAAAAAGAACAATCTTCTGACTCCATAATAAAGACACCTCTCTATTTCGGACATTACCTCAGTCTATATTTAAGTACACCCCCGCATTGCTGAAAGTTGGAAGTGTTCCTTTAATTTCGAACGTAACTAAACTATACTACTCCACGGAAAAAGTCCTAGGTCTCCTGGCATCCCGTTTTGAGACAGGAAAAACTGATAAGAGAGCCAAAAGGATAGTAAGGCTAGAAAAAAATCATTCGGCTCGGCTGCTGTGGTAGTCTAGAATTTATATTTTCATCATTTACATGATAATAAGCCAGGTGAAGACACTGTAAATTTGCATAAAATACATAACTCAACCCCGAATCAAAAATCATTGTTACAGTGTAAAAGGTCGAGAAAGAGATTGAAATGGGAACAATATTCATTTGTTGAAAATGTGCTTCGGGGATAATTGTCGGAAATTTTGTCCTGCCTTATATATAACGGATTTAATGGTTACTTAAAACAATTAAAGGCAAAAAGACCAAAACTAAAAGCCGTTTCTTATGAGCGCCTTGTGACTCAACGGAGCGAAACATTTGTGAGTGCCAGAGGTTTTTCATGCCTGGTTTCTGGGGCCTGTCAAGTCTGCCAGGAGCAGTTTTATCGCTCGTAGCTTTGGCCCTGGTCCAAAATATCTCGGCCTGCGGCCGACGCCAAAAAACTCCGTTGGACGAGGGTAAACACGCTTCCAAAAGACCATTGAAGTGTTTCAACTCATAAACTAAATCTTAAAATACACTTATCTACTTCAACTTGAAACCTTTGTTCCGAGACTTTTTTTAAGGGCATTGGTACAAAAGACTTTAGTATATATTAAGTTCTAGAGTTTGCTGGAGTCTCAACAAGATGTGTCGTTGAGCACAGATTACCTTGAGTCTAAAGTTTTCAGCTCACACAGACTGATCACGGTTTGCGGGAAAAGCTTAAGTTCGAAATTCAGAGATCAGGGAAGGATCGGGAAACACCGTGACAAATGAGCTTAATTTAAAGCGATCACCATCGCTTTTGCCTGAAATTAATTTCGTGAAAAAATGAAAAGCTTCGATCTGAGATCCACGATTCACTCTAGTAATTAATTACCACCCTAACATTGTCTACCGTAATATCCGTAATAACTTACCTAAAATTTGTCCTAGGAGATGTAGGCGAAGAATCACCTTCAGGCCTTCGCGAAACCATAACTACAGCCGCAGTTGACGGAAGACGACAGCAGCGCTATGTGTTAATATTTTTAGGGTTGTTTTGAATTTGCCAACCAACAAAAACGTATGTTATGTTTGTATCCATTAATTGTATTCTCCTACTGCCGTAGTAACTGACAATAGACGAGAGAGCAATTGTTTTGTATTGCACCTGGTACTGCACCATAGGGACCATCCGCTCCTCGCTCCTCGCGGACGTTGCGAGGCAGAAACTTAGTCCCGAATCTCTCCGCGCTCTATTTATCTCTTTTGCTTCCGCTAGCGTTTCCCTTGAGCGCCTTATGATATACTGCGAAATTATGGCTCCTCGCACTCGCGTCTTTCTTAGCGTGAGGCTCTCGCGTGGTTTCCGGATATATGTCGATCAAGTCTGCCACTAACGGCTCCATTGCTCAGCCCGAAGATTGTCTTGGCCTGCAGTAGTCTGTTACACAGCCGTTCTTAGTGTCGTCACGCAGCGCTCTTCCAGGAGTGTGCGTGACGACATTAAAAACGGCTGCCTAGCAGGCCTGCAGCCGACCTCACAAAAGCCAGAGTAAACTCGCTTGCACGTAGAAAATACCCGCCGCACGCGAGAAAAACCTCCGGTACCCAGGGTAGCTTCCAAGCGATAGTTGAAGTGTTTCAACTCGTAAATCAGACTAATCTGTCTAATACACTTATCCACTTCGACCTGAAGCCTTTTTCCAGTTCTTTTTTTCATGGGCATTGACTGCTACAATCTCGGATAGAGTTCGCTTCTATTTGCACAGATGTTTTAAACGTGCAAAAAGACAATGAAATGTGGCGTTTTGCATTTCTATGAGTCACAAAGCAGAAGAAATTTGGAGCCCACGAGAAAGTTATCAAAATCACGAATTAGTTTCCTCTCTCTTAGCCAGAATCTTCTTATCGGGCTTTCTTCTTTTACCTTTGCTCGGGCTTCACGCCTTCAAGACACTGTCAAGATATTATTACGAGAAGACTGTTCTAGATGATGTTGGTTGATACTAATTCGGATGGAAATAGAGTATGAATAGCTCAGAATTAATATCTCATTAGCATCTTATTACCTTGAAGTGTTAGTACCGGCCACCACACCCGTCCCACAATATGACCTGCAGTTCTGGTTCGTTCTTAATTTCAGAATCCTTACCTCTCTAGGGCACTTTTTATCTCTTTTAACGCTGTGAAGATACTGAGTTTTACGAGGATCAGTTACTCCGAGATGATATTAGTAGCGTTGGTTTTCAGAGATGAAAAGTGACGCTTCAGTAAAGAATAGCTCAGAATATTTACATCTTATTAGCATTCTCATTCTGTACCAGCTACGAATTATAAAACATTACACATACGTTTTAAATGAGTAAGATTGAGGTAAGACGCAGAAAAGGTCTTAGTGATTATACAAGTGCAGTAACAGGATTTTTGTCTGAGTCATGCTATACATGTAAATAGCATTTTCAAAGTATTCTTGAACCTTCTTGAAAAAACGATGCATATTCTTTATTATATTCAATGAATTTCAATTCCATATTTGCACATTTTATATTGTCCACGTTTGAATCAGAGTGTCTGCTGCTTGGTAGTTCTGATTAAAGTAAATCCCCACTTGTCCGCACTTCCATCAAACTGAGTAGGCTTAGCTTGTTAGCAGAGTAAAATAAACATTTTTCAGACTGCTATTATTGTCATTTTTTATTTTGTCGGCTAGTCAGCTTTCCAGAGCATTCCATAATTGGACTCCATCACTTCAAATATTGATCCCGAAAAGAACGGCCATTGTATTGGTACTGGTTCAAATAAGCCGGTCGGTTAGTAAAGAAAAGATCCCAAACTACCAATCGACTCGGTGGTTTATATTCCCAAGAGAGACATGAAAACTCGATGGAGTACCACCGTCGGTAAATTCAATTGAACTTGCCTCGCAGCCACGCTTTATTCTTTTGTCACGTACGTGTGAGCCTCGTTGCGTGAAAAGCGTCGCTTCAGCTTTTAGAGAGTGTGCTCGTAGTCGCGCAAATCTAAAGAGGTTTTTAAAAGACTAATAGAGAATGCCACGAAGAAGCACTCGTAGTTCAGGAAAACCTCCGAAATCTCCTGCAAGCAGTCCAGAGTAAGTATTTCAGTATTTTATTATGAAATATCCGCGTGTTTATTTGTTCACCAATATTCATAGGCTTGCAACAGTGTTGCAATTTAGCATCTTAAATGGTCCATTCTCGCTTCTCTCTTTATCGATTGCATTTAGATATTAGGAACCTTTTCCCTCACTTATTTACCAAGCTCTCGATGTAAAAAATCTAACGCTCGCACTTCGCTCTCGTGAAAAAATTTGAGCTCGACTTGTAAGCAAGTCTAATTCATACTCTCCGTTCAGTTATATATGCAAATTGCCGCATGGTTAACGTCTGGCTGCGGGGTTTCCCGGTTTTAAGCGCATCTTAAATGTACAGGAACCAGTTATGGCTCTGCAAAATGTTNAAATGAGTAAGATCGAGGTAAGACGCAGAAAAGGTCTTAGTGATTATACAAGTGCAGTAACAGGATTTTTGTCTGAGTCATGCTATACATGTAAATAGCATTTTCAAAGTATTCTTGAACCTTCTTGAAAAAACGATGCATATTCTTTATTATATTCAATGAATTTCAATTCCATATTTGCACATTTATTGTCCACGTTTGAATCAGAGTGTCTGCTGCTTGGTAGTTCTGATTAAAGTAAATCCCCACTTGTCCGCACTTCCATCAAACTGAGTAGGCTTAGCTTGTTAGCAGAGTAAAATAAACATTTTTCAGACTGCTATTATTGTCATTTTTTATTTTGTCGGCTAGTCAGCTTTCCAGAGCATTCCATAATTGGACTCCATCACTTCAAATATTGATCCCGAAAAGAACGGCCATTGTATTGGTACTGGTTCAAATAAGCCGGTCGGTTAGTAAAGAAAAGATCCCAAACTACCAATCGACTCGGTGGTTTATATTCCCAAGAGAGACATGAAAACTCGATGGAGTACCACCGTCGGTAAATTCAATTGAACTTGCCTCGCAGCCACGCTTTATTCTTTTGTCACGTACGTGTGAGCCTCGTTGCGTGAAAAGCGTCGCTTCAGCTTTTAGAGAGTGTGCTCGTAGTCGCGCAAATCTAAAGAGGTTTTTAAAAGACTAATAGAGAATGCCACGAAGAAGCACTCGTAGTTCAGGAGGTAGTTCAGGAAAACCTCCAAAATCTCCTGCAAGCAGTCCAGAGTAAGTATTTAAGTATTTTATTATGAAATATCCGCGTGTTTATTTGTTCACCAATATTCATAGGCTTGCAACAGTTTTGCAATTTAGCATCTTAAATGGTCCATTCTCGCTTCTCTCTTTATCGATTGCATTTAGATATTAGGAACCTTTTCCCTCACTTATTTACCAAGCTCTCGATGTAAAAAATCTAACGCTCGCACTTCGCTCTCGTGAAAAAATTTGAGCTCGACTTGTAAGCAAGTCTAATTCATACTCTCCGTTCAGTTATATATGCAAATTGCCGCATGGTTAACGTCTGGCTGCGGGGTTTCCCGGTTTTAAGCGCATCTTAAATGTACAGGAACCAGTTATGGCTCTGCAAAATGTTTTCTAACAGGCCTTTTTTCTGTTTTCTGTCGCAAGTATGTAAATGTTTATTTGCAAAGTTATTTCCGCCCTTGTCTCGTATGTTCACATTTGGTCCATTTGAATGGTTCAGTGACTGGGTTTGCAAAAGTGAAACTAAGTACATTATTCATGAAAAGTTGTGTCAGTCATGACAGATTTAAAATTGGAGGGAGGATGTTAAGTTTGCCTTCTGAATTTCGTTTATAATTGAACGATTTGGTCTCGTTTCTTGGCTCCGGGCGACCAGTTTTCAATTTTTGGCGACCGTGACAAAGCTAGAAGGGCGCGGCTCATGTCAAGGCAGGTTTTACGCGTCACTGAATATTACATACGGTGTATTTTTTTTTACTTAACCACTAAGACATCAAAGACTTACATTATGAAAGTTTACTCGCCACACACTAAAGCTAGAGAGACTTCCGCGTTCACAGTAAAAGTAAAGAAACCTCCCGCGCAGATTTGCGTGTAAGAACAATAATTGAGACTGGATTGTAAATCCACTTAATCCCATCTTGACGACCCGATGCTGTTGATATTTATATAACACGCTATATCAGGCAATAAGCTTTATGGCCGGAGGCGAGATAGGAACGTGTGACGAAGCCGAAAGGATGTCTCGATACTCTCCCGCTCGTGCCCTCTCGCGAACGAGGTTGAGAATGTCTGCGTGGGAGACATCCTCGGAGAAAGTGAATTTGAGTGTAAAGCCTTGTTTCCAAATGTAATAAATATATATATTCCCGACTGTAAAATCAGCCTTGCTTCTTTTGTTTTATATTTTCACTTATTGCTGATTAGATCTTACTTTATTAGGATCCGGTCCTTGTTTTTTCTAAGCTGGTCCTTGCTTCAAAAATTGAATCTTATCTGAAGCTGTCTGCCTCAGATTTTTACATAATAACCTCCGGACGTACGGACGTACGAGGGAGGTGGCAACCACACCCCCTCCCCCGCCCCCGCCTCCTCTGAGGTTTTTCTGAGTTTTTTTCAAGACGATAAAACATCAGTACCTGACGTTTTCACCGCTCTATTGTTAACAGTGCTCAAGAAAATATAGCGGTACCCTAAAATCTAGACAATATTCACTTTGCCGTGTAAACGGACATGTTCAGAGTGGTTCCCAAAACGTTCGTTGTGTAAACCACGCTTAAGTAGAGACGGTCCGTTCTCACTTAATTCATACTCATCCCCAGAGCCCCCTGTTC